TGACAAATCTTGCTATAACTGCTCTTATCTACTATTAGTTTCCTGTGTAGTTGCCTTCCTGCGATTTGCCACCCATAGAAGCCCACTGTCCTTTTCCTTTGTCTTGTCACTTCTCTAAAAATGTATTGTTCTTTCATTGAGATATTATATAAACCCAAGTTCTAACCACCACTTTTGAATTACTTACCACCCAGTGCTTCCATGTGTATGTGTGAGGCAAGTGTTAATAAACTTTCCTTTGTTCTTCTCTTGTTAATCTGTCTTTGGTTAGTGTGATTTATAGGGGCCCTGCCTCAGTTCCCAGGATGAGTAGAGGAAAAGGGTTGCTCTTTCTTCCCCGCACTTGACACGGTTTTAGACGTTTGTAACATAAAACTCCAAAAGAGGATGGACAGAGTTCTAGAAAGTATTTAATTTTACTCCTTCCCTTTATAGATGAAAAAACTTAGGCCCACAAAACTTTGATTAATATCCTGTGAACTGATTATGATTAGCTGCTGGGGAGGGAGGGGTTGGCCCAGGGCCCTGGGCAATATCTATAGGAAGCAGCCATTATGAGAGACTATTTGCTTTAAAAAGAATGAAAGTCACCTAGCTCTAACTGCTTCTGAAGGTTTGGGCCCTTTGTTTTAAAAAATGATAATGTACCACCCACTCCATCATTCACACACTTTGGGACTTTGTACAGAAAGTTTGCCGGTGGTAAAGCATCCCAAATGCGAAGATGAGAAGCTGTGTCCACTGCAGAGCACAAGTGGAGTTTGGATGTAGTTTTACTGCTGGAGGCCAAGTTGTAACAAGACCTTAGCAAATTCACATGGTCGAGAACAATTTTACCATCTCTCTTGAGCAACTCCTCCTCTGAGGAGGTGACTACGCCCCTCCTTCCTCATACATGCACAGATAGCTTTTTCTCCCCTAACTGCCTCCTGATCTTTTTCTCCCTCTGTTATTTATTAAAATGTGCAATACAACGAGAAAAGGAAAAGATTAGTCTGCTTCCTGCCATGCAAGATGGTATGCAGAAGGTCAAGGTTAAATGCAGCATTTGGTTCTTAAGCTTCTCTAATGTATAGGTGTGGAAAAGCAATCAGGGACCAGAGTTTACAGTGGTGACTCTCTGAGGATAAAAACTTGACTTTAATTTGGACTCTCTGGCTAAGATAAAATCTGCTTCTGCTATCATTATCCCACTTATGTTTGTCCTCACTCTCTTTCAACGCTGCCACCCAGCTGAGTGGGAAGAAATTAACCTGACCTTGAAGAATACTCAAAGAATCTTCAGGACCATCGGGTTTTCAATAGCCAATAAAATTCTAGAGGCCTACCAACATTTAGATCATAGACTCACAGGCCTGGAAAGGATTAGACAAATCATACAGACCATACATTTAATAGAATGAAGTCCAAAGAACTGACGTGACTTGCCCAAAGTTATGAGCTAGCTAGAAGTAGGATCAGAATGCGAATAAGGCCTCAAACCCTCCAGCCCCCTCTTCCCCTGACACCAGACCCAGCTCAGCTCCAGATCACTCATGAACAGGCCCCCATTAGGGCTTTCACACAATGTTTAGAATTTCCCTAGTGCAAATAAAAACTTCCAGGGAAGGGTCTCAAGAAGAGTTACCTCAAAGGTCATGAGGAGGAGGTATTTTACCATGCTCATCCTTGTGGGCTCTTTATCTGATCAAAATTATATATTGAACTTGGAATTGTACACTGTTTTTTTCTACCCAGGCATGATGAAGCCATACCTTTTACCCAGAGTTACTTCCATTTATGTTTTTGATCCTACCCAACACGCTATTTCTAGTGTTAGAGTCTGGTGTAGCCTTTGGCTGGTGGGTTAGAAGAAAATGAGTCTGGACTAAGACCCCTCCTGGAACCTAAGGTTTAAATTCTGCTCTCAGGAGCATTCTGGTTGTCCCACCACTGTTTTTCAAGATGGGACTTTGGGTTTTAAACCCAAGTTTGCTTTACTTGTTTATACTGACTGCCTGCCCCCTAAGGACTTTCGTGCCTGTGATCCCTGTTTGGAACTTCTCTCCTCATCCCTCCTGAGCAAGAAGTCATGGGTGGTGGGTCTTGAGTCTCAATCCAAATTCCAAGATCAGACTCCCTGCCTGGGCCAGCTTCTGGCATCCACTATAGGCCGCCAGCTCTCCTATCGTCTTGAGCAATCAAAATTAGTCTTTGAAGTGATAATAACTTTATTCATATCTGTCTTGAAGCAATCTGGCTTTGTGAAGGCAATCCATTTTATGGAATTGAGTAAAAGAATGAAAAAGTTATATTGTAATATTAGAGAAAAGCCTTACAATTATTTAGAGAATTTTAGCCTATTTGCCAGCCCTATTAAATTCTTTTTTTCATCTTGAGACATGACCTCACCCAAATATATCTACATCAGCTACATCCATTTTTTATCTTTTTCTGAAGCCATGACAGTATCTGTATAGTTTTAGAAATAATTATTATCCTTCAATTTTTTTTACTTTTATTTTTTTTTTACAGACACCTCCTGAATTACTTACTGGCTTTGCCTGACAATCTAAGTTTCATAGCTGTAAATTAATATCTCTCAGACAGATTTAAAATAATATAAAAAGACAAAGTCCACATGAAAATAAAGAATTGTAAAATAGAGTTTAGGCTGTTATATATGAATTTAGTTGATCTTTATTTCCTTAATAGTCTTCAAATTAGAACATGTTATTCTAGTTCATAAAGGCCATTACCTTTGAGAGTTAAACAGCTTTGAAGATTTTTAAGTTAGTTTTCTTTTTAAAAAGTCCAGACATTCCATATTCCATAAACTCTAATATCCTTCATCTAGTGTAGAAAATATATTTCAGTATCAAGGAATTCTCCCTTTCCTTTACATTGGGAAAAAATCCTTTTATTCCTACTGATACGTATTTATTCCAAAATTAGTTCTCTACCTACCCAGTAATGTTTTTGAAAGTTTTATCAAATCACTCCTTCCATTAGATTCACATCCATTAGATTTACAGAAGAAGTTAGAGTATTATCCTACATATGTATTTATTAAGTTTATAAGTCAAAACTCCAACAGTAAAAAGTATGAATATTGTCTCAGGGTTAAAGAAGAAATGTGGCTCTGAGCCTTCATCTGTTGCAAAAACAAAACAAAACAGTCCCTGGACTTCCATGGGAAAGCAACAGAAAAACTTCTGGAAATTCTCCAAATAGAATTTATTTCCACAAGGATGAGTGCTCACCTCATCTTAAGTCCTGTTGACAGAGCCGTTCAAATTAGTTGTCTATACTTGTCTTTCATTGGCCCATAGAGATTTATAAGATGCTGACGTGTTCAGAGAAGGCTTACGTCCACAGAGCTCAAAGACGTCATTCAACTGTAACAAATACTAGACTATAGACAATAACTGGGTACAGAGCTAAGTCTTCTCATCCCTCAGAACAGGGCAAGTTTTCTCTTTAGTAATTTCACCCATCTTGATGGCTCAGACAGAAGTATTTAATCACTTGGTGTGTAGGTACATCTAATTTAATTGCTCTTAAAAGCATTCTTTGGAATAATGGAATTGCATTCCAAATGCTCAAAACATTAGGATTGCTATAATTATGCGTTTTGTAAATTTGATTATGTCTGCTTTCTTTGTAGATGTCAAGTGTACAATGAAAACTTTTTTAGCCTGTGTTTATTTAAGTCCCATGTCGAAGGGATTACATTGTTTCATACTGGATGGTTTTTGAAAATACATCTTCAAACCTGACTTGGGGAAAATGTTCAGATTGAAAGTAGCTGTGACCCAAGTGCCAGGGAAAACACAATTACTCACCCCACCCAAATGTTTTCATTTCCAGGAAAGCTTTGGGCCAACATGGAGAATTCAAGGGCATAGAAACAAAGTTACGGGGTAACAAAGTCAGTTCTAAAATACTACATCTCTGATCCACTTGCCTTTCTGCCTGTGTGCCAATCTATGGTGACTTTGGACCTAAGGACGCCATCCTTCCACTATGGTAGTGGAAGGCTGTGTGCCCCAGCATCAGGGAGGGCGGTCAGTTGGCACTGGAAATGCATGCACAGGCTGCTCACTCTGTTGGACTTTGTCCCTGTGCTACAAATATGCTAAATGACCTGTAATCTTATGGGGGGAAACATTATTATATAAGTCAAAAACTGAGCTATTAGTTTCTGGATCTGATGTGCTGACATTATAGTCACTATGTTTTGAAGCTACTTTATTTTAAAGGTACCTAAGTTAAGAATGGTTTTCTGAACTTTAAAGTTATATATTCCTGAATGCTGCTGTACTTTCCTCCTCAATGACAGCAGGTTAAAGATAAGCTCTCATAATTAGCCTGGATACCTATTTCTGAGGTCCTCGGCCTCACAGTAATAAAATAATAATACAGAAGCTGTATTATTTTATAGGGATGGGTGTTTGTTGAGGCTCTTGGGATGAATTTAGAGTACTTGTTAGTCCATGTAATGGTTGGAATCTGGGACATAAGACTGGGGCTAAATTTTGTACCCTCCTAGCCCCAGAGAGTCTTCAGAAAAATAGAAACAAAAGAGCACAAAGTACTTAAGGTAAGACTGTTGTATTCATAATATAGAGAAATAACCACCATGCCTCATGGACAGGAGATGCAGTTCTCCACGGGGCTACAAAACTGTGCTAGTAATAATTTTAATTGGATGCTATCTTTGCTGCCTTCAAAAAGTATCATAAAGTGGAATTATTACAGGCTAGAAGTGCACTTACAGGGTTGGCCTCGCACAGGAGGAAACACATAACATTTATCCATTGGAGGGCAACATCAATGGGCTTCTATTTGTTTCGTTTACATGCATCCCCAGCTGCCCGCTATTTGCCTCCCCTTTCCCGTGTCTGGAAGATCCATTTGGATTAGATGCGGCAGAGCGCGAGGTTTTGCGGGGCCGTCTGCCCTGGGGCTGGCACGAGCCCCGCAGAGGGCCTGGGCCCGCGGGGCGGGGCGGGGCCTACCTGCAGAGGAGTGGGCGGTGTGAGCGGCGACGGGAGGCCGTGTCCCGGAGGCGGACTGGGTTTCTGAGGGGGGCTGGCGCTCGTCTGCGTCGGAGACGGCTGGCTCCGGCCCTGGGGGTGGGGCTGGCCCGGAGGCTGCGGGGGCTGCGGCGCGGGGGCGGGCGGCTGCTGGGGCGGCGCGGGCTGCGGGCCGGGCAGGCCCGGCGGGGGCGCCTGCGGGGCGGGCAGCGGGTGCTGGCTGCTCGGCGGCGGCTGAAGCTGCTGGAGCTGCTGGAGCTGCTGGAGCTGGGAGCTCAGGGATGAGGTAGCTGCAGGGAAAGAAAGGCAACGCGGCGTTGGAAGGAACCCGAGCAAACCTCTCGTGCCGTCGTGGACAGTTTGTGCCGGGCAGCTCAGAAGGCCACGCGTTAGAAGGTTGTCTCTCCGCCCCTGAAGCTCTCTGGGGCTTAGGAGGGCTGTAGGCACCGGGGGAGAAAAAGGGCACTCTTGGGGAAATTTTAAAACATGGGGAGAACTGGGATGCACACGTGAGGCATTCCTTCCAAAGGCACTGAGCAGCCCAAACCAAGGCACTGCACTAGAAATAGAAGAAACTTCGGACATTTTAATTCTTCCTTTCCGCACTGCTTGGGAAATACACATATGCTTTTCAAGACCTGATTTCGATTTTCAAAGTTCAATCCGTTTGACGCTTGTGGCACATGCTCGACTGGAGTTAAGAACAGAAAACTCAGTTTATAATCGCCTTTGCATCATCAATGCCATTAATGTGTCACTTCCTCTTGGTACTTCAGACGCCTGCCAACCTGCTTAGACATCTTAGTTTCAAGTTTCTGGCTCCCCCTGCCTCTGCAAAATTCAAAGGTAGTACATGCTTCTCCGTTTTTCAGAGTCAGTAGCCTGAGTCTGAATTTTTTGCCTGTTGAGCAAAGAGAACCCCCACACTGGAAGGATTACAGGGGGTGACTGTGAACTGTACAGTGTGGTGACTAGACCCATCAATACCTCAAGGATGGGCCAGGATCTGAGAGAACGAAACCATCTTTCAAGATTTCCTTGTTGTATGAAAAGTTAAGAGTTGGTGAGACAAGCCGTCTTAATGTGGAGCACACAGATTTTGTTCTCATATGCCCATCTAGCACTGGACAGTTTCTGCAGCAGGAAAAGAATTTGGCCAAAGAATCATCTAACTGCTACAAGTTTACTTCCTCCTTTGCCTGAATCTCAGTCTGAAAGCCTACAAATAAATATGAAGATCAGTGTTGAACCCATAAGCCTTGAATGCAATGTTTTCCTGCTCTTCCCCTATCTAGAATTAGACAAGATTTCTATAGGTAATCAGCCCTGTTTGCAACATTAAAAAGTCTTCCCTGGGCTACAGAGACCAAGGAGGCATTCATGGAGGATGTAGAATGAGAAAAGAGAAGGTTCAAGTGACTGAATGTCGATACCTTGAAAGGAAGGAGGAGAGGATATTCCAGGCTGGAGAACCACCCAGATGATAGGCATGTCTTGGGTGATATTTCTGAAGGACAATGTGGGGAATAGGCCTTAGACCTGAGAGAGGGTGGAGCCTATCTTGTGAATGTGATAGACGGTGGATCACTCACAATTAGCTTTGGCTGTCAGTCAGATTTTAAATATATACTCAGGGCTGTAGAAAGCAAAGCATAGCTGTCTTGGTGACGTGATAGCTTGACAGTTCCCAGGGACACCAAATACCAATTCTGGTACCATGTAAGGCTGCCATGTTGGCACAGGTAGGCAGGCATAAATCCTCACTCGGTCAATGAATTACTCTAGGTCCGTTCAAACACTCAGTCCAGTGTGTGTCCTGTGAATCCACAGCCCTCTGGGACTCTGGAGAAAGAGATGGTGTAGATGAGAGAAGACTGGAAAATACCCAGTCAGTGGGAACTCTGAACTTTCTGCTTACTTTTGCCACAAACCTAAAACTGCTCTAAAAAAGAAAGTCTAAATAAAAAAGTACCCAGTCATCCTCCCACTTATTGGGGCTTTAAGAGAATGGTCTGGTTTTTGCTGTTCTCCTACCTTCCCTGCTCCTATTGTACAAAATCACAGTTTATTGATGATCTGGGAGCTCAGCTCCATTCTGACCTCCCCAGGATCTTCTGCAATCTGGAGGGTCCTGACCTCTGCTTTTGTTGGAGTTACAGACTGGGAATGTGAGTGCATCTGGCCTCCTGCCTGATGCAAATCAAGCCTGTCCTGATTTCTTTCAGGTGGGTGGGGGTGGGGGGAGGCCCATATGTCAGTGCTTATTTTCATGGTTGACTTAAATACCATACTGTTTCATTTTGGTTAGAAAAGCATTTATCTAAATCAGCATTTAGAAACTGGAAGGACTGGGGAATATTGGCAGATAGATCTTGGCAGATGGGTAGGTGCAGTGGACCCTAACCTTCTAATGATATGTCCCAAACATGTCTTTGTTCCTTTATGTTGGTGAATTCACATTTCTTGGCTGTTTCTTTCCCATAACCAGCTTGCTTGCCTGGGAAGGCATTAGCCTAAACTAAACCTCTCTGAGTTACATAAACTACTTCAGCATCTGCCAGCAAAAAATGATGGGCAATAAAATATGTCAGGTATGTATTGGATGCAAAGAAAAGCAGGAAGGGTTGTATAAGAATGTAACTCTGGTCTAAAAAACACCAAAGCCACCTACCCAGGAATATGAAAGCAAAAGTAAAAAAAAAAAGTTAAAATATGGAGCCTCTCAATGGTTCATTGTATAAAGCATACTAAGATATGGACACACGTTAGGAAGGTTCAAGGACATATTTGAACTAGGAATGTTTGCTGATGAAATGATTTTTGGGGGTAAAACTCTGACTCTCTGCATGGAAGACTGAATATTTTACTTTCTTCTCTAGTATTTATATCCTTTTATGATTGTTTCCTCTATGTCTGGTTACTACACACTATGTAGGCCAATGATGAATATAAGATTTAACTATGATAAGAGTAACTATAAAAGAAAAAGAGATGCATAGACATTTACATTAGGAAATTAAAAATTTTTGAAACTTAACAATTTTGAAAAAGAAACACAAAACAAAATTCTATCGAGTTCATTTCCAAGAGAGAAGAGAACATTATGGCAAAATCAGTGGCTCGTAACTTCCCAAATAAATAATTTAATATGATGAAGGTCTAGACAAGAATCCTACATTTCTCCATTTGTTTAGTTGTCTGTTACAGAAATATGGCAACTGTAAATTAGAAAAAAAATCCCTTAATCTTTGTTAAAGGTATCCTCAGGAAACTATATGCATAAACCACCAGAGGTATCAGAATTATTCTAGATAGGATTTATATAAGACTACTTCCAAGGCAAGGAAATGGAAAGTAAAAGTATCATGTATACCTGTGTATGAAGAGCAAGTCCATGAGAGATTCTGGAAAAATGCAAACATATCTAATATTTATTAGCGAGGCTTTGGAAACACCATAGGATTCATAGAAAGCAAAAATAGTACTCAAAAGCTAAAGAAGGCATGAGATTCTTAGCAATACCCTCACAGCAACTAACACCAAGTTAACGCCAAGTACAACATCATACTATTATAACCACTGTAGCTGGGATGTCAACTTCAGCATTTTCTTGAACTTCTCAGGTTCAGGCATATGTGTGCACATCTGGCAAGCTGGTGTTTTGGGTTTGAGAGCCTGCTGGGAAGGAGGACGAGCTATTTATTATTCACTGCTGATGTTTACACACCCCTGGGCATGTCTGGGAACTAGAGTAACCCCACAGAAACAAATTGCAGAGAGTAAGGTCTAAGCAATCAAGGCATCTCACTGAAAGTGACCAGGAATCCTGACAAGACCATGCTGATAATGGCCATTCAAAGCCATCCCCAGCCCAGTCCCCTGGTGCAAACTTGGTCCTACGGAGAGAAAACACCAAAAACAAAAGGGCAACCTTGAAAGTATGATGCTAAGTGCAAGAAGCCAAATGCCAAAGGCTACACATTGTATGATTCCGTTTGTATGAAATGTGCAGAATAGGCAAATCCGTAGAGACAAAGCAGATCAGTGCTTGCCAGGGGCTGCAGGAAGGGAGGAATGGGGAGTGACTGTTAACAGGTATGGGGGTTCTCATTGGGGTGATGAAACAGTTCTGGAACTAGATGGTTGGACAACACTGTGAATGTAATCAATGCCACCAAATTGCACATTTTAGAATGGTTAAAATGGTTAATTTCACGCTCTCTGAATTTACTAAAATAATGATAATGAGCTGAATCTCTATATGCACACAATGGGCCCCAGGCTGTACTGCGCTGGCATGCCACAAGGGCAGAGAGCAATCTTTTCCACTCTTCGTGGTTCTGTGGTCCTGAGGGCTAAGGGCAGCTGTCTTCAAAGGCTGTTCCTACTGGGATGGGATTGGGGAGATGTGGGCAGGGCTGCAGGGCACCATGTGGCACAGGGAGGGAAGCGCCTGCTCACTGGAGACACACAGGTCTTGTAGTGCAGAGCAATGTGACTGCTATCAAAGTGCACATGGACTCATTAGTGAGCACAGAGGTGTCCTTTCCAGAAATGCTGGAGAATACTTGGAAGCTGGACACCCTGTGTGAGTGGGTGGAGAACAGTGATGGCAATTTGGGTTCAAAATAAGCCAAATTAAAGTACTTTCATTTAGTATGAATGACTTAGCTACCCAAGACAACCACATGGATAGATGATGTCATTACCATGTTACATGTATGGAACTGGGCTCAGAAAGGCAAGTGACCTTCCCAAGGTTACACAGCTAGTGAATGCTATGGATGACTCAATCTTAGGTCTGCTACTTCCCAAAGCCTTGTAACATAACAGAATCACATGGACAGACGGGGCAACCTATTTCCTCTTGAAGGTTGGGATAAAGATAACCACTCACACGGAGTACTTTCCACAGCCCTGCTTTGAGAAGAGGTGGTACAAGTACCCAGCTTCAGAGGCTAATTTGAAGGCATCTGCTCAGCAATGAATTGTTCAGCTCCTGGGAAAGTGTGAACCCTTTGAACTTCTGTCCTGCTGCAGGCAAAACATTTTTTAAAGCCTGATGATATGAAATGTAAATGTGTGTTTGGGGATAAAGATGCTAATTTGAGTGTGAGCCATGAGTTATTACCAGGAATGGAGATACGGGGCTGCAGGAAGGGAGGTGAGAGGTGTGAGTGGAAGGGTACACTTTATTCATGTCACAAGTTTGCTTTGATGGTCAGGGATGGTTTCCTCTACCCTTAGATATTGAGTGGCAGTGGCACTCTGCTCAGCTTGGTGACATTTT